GCAAGAATTACACCTCAACATAAAGAAAACAAAAATCCTCACAACTGGACCAATAAGCAACATTATGGCGAATGGAGAAAATATTGAAGTCGTCAAGGATTTCATTTTACTTCAATCCACATCTATGGAAGCAGCAGTTAGGAAATCAAAAGATATATTGCATTGGGCAAATGTGCTGCAAAAGACCTCTTTAAAGTGTTAAAAAGCAAAGATGTTACTGTGAGGACTAAGGTGCACCTGACCCAAGTCATGGTATTTTCAATCACCTCATATGCATGTGAAAGCTGGACGATAAATAAGGAAGACCAAAGAAGAACTGATGCCTTTGAGTTATGGTGCTGGTGAAGAATACTGAATATACGATGGACTGCCAAAAGAATGAACAAATCTGTCTTGAAAGAAGTACAACCAAAATGCTCTTAGAAGGAAGGATGGCGAGACTACGTCTCACATACTTTGGACATGTTGTCAGGAAGGATCAGTGCCTGGAGAAGGACATCATGCTTGGTAAAGTGGAGGGTCAGCGAAAAAGAGGAAGACCCTCAAGGAGATGGACTGACACAGTGGCTACAACAATGGGCTCAAGCTAACAACGATTGTGAGGATGGTGCAGGACTGGGCAGTGTTTCGTTCTGCTGTGCACAGGGGTACTACGAGTTGGAACCAACTCAACGGCACCTGACAACAACAACAACAATATGCCAAGCACTGTCTTGAGGGCTTTATAGGCATTATTTTATAGACTCCTCCCACCCACCCATGAGGCAGGTACTATTATCATTTCCCTTCTTCAGGTAAGTTAACTGAGGCTCAGAGGTAAGGAACTTGTCCGAGGTCACACAGTTAACAAGCAGCGGAGTCAGGATTTGAAGCTAGGCTTTCAACCTCCAGGGCCTGAGTTCTTAACAGCTACGTCTATATTGCCTCCCAGATGGGAGACCCAGTACCCAAGGAAGTTTAGAGTTGCCCAAGGTTAACTGCAAAATCTGGAACCTGAATCTCAAATTCCTGACTCCCAGCCCTGTGTTGTACATTACTCCTCGTACATCTCTGCTGTCTGAGAAGTAATGTGGAGAGAACACCTCAAGTTTATGGCCAGGGCTGAGCAGTGTCTGCAAGAAGAAAGGGAGAGAGGTGTTAAACCTGACAGCAAAGACTTGGAAGAGAAGAGACAGGGAAATAAACAAGCCGCCAAGTTGGGGCAGGCGTTCAATGGATGAGGAGAAACTAGAATGTGGGCAAAGTTACTCCAACAAATTGCTGATGGAGCAGGAGCTGGTTCCTGAGCTCCCTGGAGCACTCTTCCCAAGAGCACTGCCCACCCCAGCCAGATTCGGGAACTGGTTTCCCTAAGTGACATGCACGTAGTCTATATTTAGGTCCAAAAGCCACCCATTGTTTCTGTCCCAGAGGACAATCGGGGTCACCACCCTGACCTCAGCCCCTCCAAGTCATGTCTCTGAGTGTACCACCAAGAAAGGCCTTTTCAGACACTGGTTTGAATCAACTTCCCCTTCCATGGCTCTGACTTAGTGTCCTGGGCAAGCTGTAAAAACATGTCCCGGAGAAAATAAGCAGGTCAAAAATAACTGGAATCGGGGCTTTAAAATGAAGCACTGATTCTTTCCTTCCTGCCATAAAATCAAATGATATCCATGTTCATCTCAGGATATAAGGTGCTTCAGGTCTTTGGGTTGTGAAGCCCTTACGTGCTGAGGATTTCTTTCTCCAGTGGCCGTCAGAACATTCTAGACTCAACATGAATTGGACATGGATCGTGTCTGCTGAGTGCTGACTGTGTGTCAGGCACTGTCATGAGTTACTTCATTTATTCCTCATAACCCGGTAAGGCAGGCACTATTGATTATCCCCACTTTACACAGAAGAAAACAGATTCAGAGAGGTTTGGTAAACTGTCCAGGATGACATGGCTAGTAAGAGGCAAGGCTGAGACTCAGCCCTATATCTGTCTGGTTCTAAGACCCATCCCCTAAATACTTACACTCTATCATTTCTTGATAGATATAGAACTAACTTGGTCAAGCCTCCTAAGAAGATAAATTTATGAGATCTTTCAAGGAATTCTCCCATCCTTTCTTCTCCCTCCATACCCAGTTACCAATTGCACCCTCCTTCCAGCCACAATTCCTCCAGATCTTTTCTCTGCCAATTCTCAAAGCTAAGGAATAAAAATTCATTCAATAATCTTTTCAAGAGCAGAATAAAGGTCAATAGCTGGCCAGCCAATTACTTTTTGAGTTCCATTTGACAACCTTGGGTAATATATGCATGATCGTTAAGGTTGTGTGTCAACTTGGCTGGGCCATGATTCCCAGAGGTTTGGCAATTATGATGTAGTCTGGCAGTTGTATAATGGTGTAGTCATCTCTATGATGAGATCTGATATAATGTGATCATCTCCATGATGGGATCTGCTGTGAGTAGCCAATCAGCTGAAAGGGAGTTTCCTTGGGGGTGTGGCCTGCATCCAATATAGGTGTGGACTTTCTGGCAAGGCTTGTGGACTTTCACCCACTCTGGATCCTGCAGCTGGCTCCTGTTCATCTGACCTCCAGTTCTTGGGACTTGGGCTAGCAGCTTACCTGCCATCTTGCCTACCGATCTTGGGATTCATCTGTCTTCTCAGCCCGTGAGCCAGACTCCTCCTGCTGTCTGACCTGCTGATCTTGGGTTCGCCAGCCCCTGCAGCTAAGTGAATCAGGAGAAGCCTTCAGCCTGACCTATGGACTTGGGATGTTCCAGCCTCACAACTGCGTGAACCATTTCCTTGATATAAATCTTTCTCTATATATATTTATACACTTTACTGGTTTTGCTTCTCTAGATAACGCAGCGTAAGACAGTATGCTAAGAACACTCACAAAATCATTTGACTCTGAAATGGGGCAGATGTGAAAACTATTTTTTTACTTTATCCAGGATCTTTGCATATCTTAGGTTCATGACAAAGGTAAAATGAGTTCAGAGACATCTCCGTTTGACAGGTGGGGAGACTGAATCCAGAGAAGGAAGTGATGTGCCTCTTACTTAAGTGCTGATTGGACCACAGCAAACATCCATCAAATCAAGACACCATTTGCACCCGAAATAGGCTGATTTGCCCAAGAACTGGAAAGCAAAGTGTTACTGCAGATGTTGCATGTGGCAGGAGATCTAGGAAGGGTGCCATCTTTTAAATTATTATGTAGCATCTAATGGCTAAGAATGTCAATTCCAGATCCATTCTGCCTGGGTTTGTACCCTGATCCATCACTTTAAAAAAAACACCAAACTCACTGCTGTCGAGTCAATTCCAACTCATAGCGACCCTGTAGGACACAGAAAACTGCCCCATAGGGTTTCCAAGGAGCCACTGGTGGATTCGAACTGCCGACCTTAACCGTTGCACCACCGGGGCTCTGATCCACTACTTACCAGCTGGGTAACCTTGGAAAAATTATTTATCTTCTCTAATCCTCAGTTTCACCATCTATAAAATGGGGACGATAATAATAGCCAATCTCTAAAACACTGTTGTGAGAATTTCATGAGCTAATGTGAGAAGAATGCTTAGTTACATAAAAAGCATCTAATATACCTTAGCTATTATTGTTATTCCGACTCATACTCATGGCAACCCTGTATGAGTCGGAATTGACGGCAACGGGTTTGGTTTTTTGGTTTATTATTATTTTGTTATGAACTCTGCATTAACTGTCACTGAAATATAGTAAGTCACTTAAAATGTCAATTTCTATGCCTCAAAAGCTCAAAAACTATGCTTTACCAAGTGAGCAAATATCTGGGTAGTAGGATGTGAAAAGGAGAAAGACAGGGAAATCATCCAAGTCACATGAAAGGATTAACCTTATGTGTTTGGAATGGTTACATATAAGAGTTGAAATGAGCATTACAAAGATCAGTCTCAGAAATGTAATTCTGATGAGAGAAATAGAAAGAACATCCTTCAGAAAATTGTTGGCTTATCCAAAACTTTAACACCCTCCAAATAAATAAATAAAGGACAAGAACAATAAGCTGTAGGGTTCCTAAACTGCTCTTCATTCCAGAGAAATACAGCTTTTTCAGCCACTCCTTCCAAAATCACCCAAACCAGGCACTAACACTCTTAAGGAGAAGTGTAGTGATTCTGCGCCTCCCCGGATGTTACCTGACTTCATCCTCCCAATGATGAGCACGCTCAAACCAACAGGATCACAAATTTAAGGAAACCTACAAAAAACATTGCCCCAAACAGACTGAATTTCCAAAACAGTGCAGCCATCTTCCAATCAAAAGAAGGAGAGAAGATCCTGGAAATCTACTTTGTAATTAAAAACAAACAAGAAGCAGAAGGCAGATGCATCCTTTTCTCTCTCTCTTTTCCTTCCCATTAACTGAAAACAGGCCTTTTGTAAACATTAAAATACTAATACTGTATCAGTACTGGTTCATCAGTAGTAACAAATGTAGTACACACGCAAGATGCTAATAATAGAAGAAACTGTGTAGGGGAAGGGAATATATGGAACTCTGTACCTTCTGCACAATTTTTCAATTTTTCTATGAACCCAAACCTGCTTTAGAAAATAAAGTCTATTAAAAAAAAATTAAATACTGGTATCACAGAGCAAACAGCAGAAGACACCCCTCCGCCACCCCACCCTTGCTCTCCTCCAATCACAGATGCTAAATGAGGCCCTGAAAGGATGCTCTCCACTCAGCTCACCATCTCAGCTAAGTCCAACCGTTTGTGGTCTTAAACACAACCACATGGCTCTTTCTGATTCATACTCAAGTGAGGCAGAAATGTGGCTCCAACACCCTAGGTATTTTGACTAGCAACTCCCTGCTAAGTTTCTTGGGAAATGAAAAGACAGCTGCGCCCTCCACACCTCAGCTCCTGGAACTGCCCCACGAGCTTGGGTGGGAGCTGAGGGGCAGGACATGCCCGGCTCAGCAGCCGCACCCCCCCTTTCCTCCGTCCGCAGGGAGCTTACCTGAGCATGGACAAAGAAGCAACACCACACCATGGGGCGCTCCGACCTCATCCACCCGAGTCCCAGCCCCTAGCTGTGGTGGAGCCCTGCGGACGGGATTGTCTGAGCGGCACAGAGCATGGTTTCAGGAGTTCCTGAAGGAACTCCTCCCCGCCACTTGGGCTGCATGACAGGAAGTGACAGGGGGCCATCAGTTACAAGCGTCAGAGCTGAGAACCAGAGCTCCCCACCTCCAGTGGTTTCCTCAGCAGCTGCTGCTGCTGCTTTTTCAGCGCTCTCTTTGCCCTTTGGCATTCAAAGGCACACCAGAAATTCAGTTTCTGGCTGACAGTCCTCAGCCTGTGGGAAACAATGCTTGGTGGGTCCCCACCTAAAAGCCCCGCTGGGCATCCGGGCAGCTCTAAACGGTTCGCTGCTAGACACCATATCTCTAGTCTGGAGCTTTACAGACCCAAAAGTTGGAATGAAAATGCATAGAGAAGAAAACGTTACTGGGGGGAGGGACGCTGGGAGGAGAGATGAAGAGATGAGGTTGTTCAGGGAGGAATAGATGATCTGCTTGAACTTCACCCAAGAGTCAGCGGCCCTGCCCAGGATACAGAGCTCACACTCAGTCCTAATTCAAAAGCAACCACACGCCCATCCGTTTCTTTCTTTATTTCTTAGGCAAATACGGTGTCTTCCCTTCAGAGCCCCTTCAAAATAGCTGCTGCTTGGAAACCGCCCTTTCAGCTTTTGACGTGAATCCTAAGTGGCCTTACTGCTCTCCTCAGAGAAATAATGGAAAAAATGGAAATGCATAAGAACAATACGTCATGGGTGACACTTCTCATTTTTTGAATCGGGGATCTCTCCAGAATCAACACCTTGTCCCAGTACCCTGTCTTTTTCAAAATCCAGACCTCCTAGGTGAAGTAGACTGTCTCATGGCAGACCTAGCAGATTTCAGACGAAAACTATACTTTTGTCCCTCTTCCCACCCAAACAAATCAAAACCCTCCCCCTCCTCGCATAGTGGTAGTGGATCTCAAACCCAAGGAGATACAATCCCAGTTCAGCTTTCAATTATTATTATTATCACTTAGTTCTGTCAAACCAAACCTGTTACCATCCAGTCAATTCCAACTCATGGTAACCCCAAGTGTTACAGAGAACTGCTCCACAGGGTTGTCTTGACTGTGATCTTTATGGAAGCAGATAACTAGGACTTTCCTCCGCAGTACCACTGGGTAGGTTCAAAATGCCAATCTTTCAGTTAGCAGCCAGCGCAAACCATCTGTGCCACCCAGGGACCTCTTATTTTCCTAAAGGAGTAGTGTTTGATTTGCAAAACTCTTCCTAATTGAGACTCCTAGCTGCAAAAATTTAGCCCGGCATTCCTGAGACCTTCTTAAAAACGCACAGATCTTTTAAGAGCCTTCCTCTGCCTCAGTTTCAAGTCAAATGGTGTATCCAGCAAAGAGAGCTGGGTTCATTTTAACAACAAGCTTCTGGCCTAACAAAAGGAGATTAAATCCAAGATTTAACATTAGAGCTTCAGAGAAAGCAGCCTTTCCCCCACTCACTTGGGCCAGTGGTCTGGCCACTAACACAAGGTCTTCCCAAGAGTGTCCTCTGCTTCAGGGACATTACAGAAGGATGTACCAGGATCTGTTGGTAAAAAGATGAACCACCAGTGACTGGAGAATAAAATAAACGCAGCCAGGAATTTGCAGGAAGTGCTGAGGGGCCAAGGAATAACTGAGCCTGGGAAATGCATTTTTTATGAGGACAAAGTTCAGGAAGGATTCTCAAAGCAAGACACGTGGGCAGAGTTCTAGGGGGGCGGGGGGGCATTCTAGGCAGAAGGACTGGCAAGGGCAACAGCAAGGTGGTACAGAACCACAGGGTGCTTTGCAAAAACTCTGGTAGGTCTGGAGCGCTGCTTTGAAAAGCCTGGGTCTTGCTTCAAGGAACATGAGGGGCGGCATCTATTTGGAGAAAGAAGGAAGTGAAATTAGTGTGAAAAGGCTCTGACCTTCTAGGCAAGCATCTGAGTCAACTCAGGGCCTACATGTGGCACTGGGTCTGGTACCCAGGAGGTGCTCGGTAATGTGTGTGAAATCAAACAGGGGTGTCCACCAAAAGGCAGGTTTCAGATCCCCCTTCCCAAAGTCTAACTCCTCACAAAACAAGTCTAGGTTGAGTGGTGGCTGGTCTGGGCCACGGGTTCTGAATATGTACAGGTCTGTAAAGAACCTGAGGCTGGACAGCTGTGGTGGCCACTCAGCTAATGAAGACTATGCTCCTGGCGGGGGGGTTGGGGAGGCAACGGAGGCTCCTACAAGCCCAGCTACTCCTCTCCTAGAAAATCTGGGAACTAGCCACTTGGTGCAGTCCCAGCCACTAACGGGATCTAAAAGAAATCCCAAGGGAATGTAGAGTGGTCGCGCTGGACTCAGAGCGGATTTGGGGCGGCAGGGGTTGGTCATAGGGGACACAGTGACATGAACTAATCCTAGAATGATTAAACCTTGTAACTTCTGGCTGCTGACTGAACGAGAAAGAATAACCGAAACCCGTGGGCTGCAGCACCTTGTGGGAGAGGTGAAAGTAGAGTCAGCTCCCAGAGTAGGCATTAGGTAAAGAGGGAAGGAGAGCCAGAGACGCCCCTTGACAGGAGAAAAGGGGTACAGTCTGCAAAAGGGAAGGAGGGAACAGAGCACAGACGTTTCTCCTGAAGCCCCTGCCCTCCCAGAAGTAAGAAATCCAGTAAGAAAATTGCTCCATGAAGAAGGAACCTGGAGAAGAGAATTTCAATAAGAGGTTCCAGACCTACAGGGTTCAAGTTCATTTTGAGCTTTATCGTGGGAGCTCATAAAGGAACAACGCTATGGATTTTCTCTATGTGGCATGTAGGATACTTCGAAGTATTAAAACATGTTTTTCTACTGGTTTTTAAAATTTATCATAATGTTATTATAATACATTCAAACCATGTTGCTGTTGCTGTTCGGTGCTGTCAAATCCATTCTGACTCATAGCGACTCCATGTGACAGAACAGAACCACCCCACAGAGTTTCCTAGGCTGTAATCTTTATGGAAGCAGATCCCCAGATCTTCTTCCCACAGAGCCGTTGGGTGGGCTCGAACCACCAACCTTTCAGTTAGCAGCCGAATGCTTAACTGTTGTGCCACCAGGGCTCCCTTTCAACCATACAGAAGTATATAAAGTAATAAGTGAGTCCCTCAAAGGTCACCCCTTTTCTCCACCCCAGTCCCACTTGCCAGAGGCACCGGTGTTAAAGCCAAGTGTAGCTAAGGGACTCACAGACCCAATATCTTCAGGGCCCCAGGGATAAAGTACAGGTGGGGGCTGGGGCACCCCAGAGAACATGTATGTGCTCCACCCAAGAGGGGACGGCAGCTCCAGCTTACTGGTGTCCTGAGGGCCTATCAGTCCAGAGGGACCAGACATTGCGGCTTTTCAAGAGAAACCTGAAGTTCTGGATTTTCTGTAAAATCTCCCAATCTTTACATGTTGGGAACTAATTCATCATTTTTAAAAATACTGCACAGGCCACACAAAACACAGCTGCTGGCTGAATTTGACCCAAGGACCACCAGTTTGCAATCTCTCATGGAGATCCTTCCAGACATTTTCTTCCGTTTAAACACACTTCAGTTGCTGGGGGAACATTTTTTTTCAAAAATGAAATAACATGGTTCTACCATTTGCTTTTCTGACTTAACATCCAGAGCATCTTTCTGTGTCATCTGAATTCAGGCCTCCTACTGCAGAGTCTCCCACGGTACGGAAGCTCCTTCACTCAGTCGCTACCACGCTACAGACATTGAGCAAACATGAAAGACGCACTTGAAATGTCGCCTCTCAGTTGCTTGTCGCTTTTACTTCTGTCAATGGAAAGAAACCTAACTCAAGGCAGAAAAAAAAAAAAGTGCACCTGTGTGCAGGTATTAAAACATCACAAAGCTACAATCACTAAAACCATGTGGCACTGGAGAAAGAATGAAGAGTGACTGCAGATTTTTGATGCTTTGATATGAGCACTTCCCATGCATATTCTCATTTTAGTCTCACAACTGCCACAGGGTAGGCCTCGTTATTATTATCTCCACCTCACAGATTTAAAACAAGACTGAGACTCAAAAAGTGAGCCTGCCCAAAGCGCACAGCCTAGAGGTAGTGGGGTCAGGGGTGAGCCCCAGGGGTCCTACTGCACACATATCCTCCAGGACAGACAGCCAAATGTCTTCAAGAATATGACGGACACAGGGCATATGCCGGCCTGCAAACCCCTGGAGGAGAGAAGGATCACTAACAAATAAGACAATTTCTTCACCTCTTAGAAAGAAAAGACTCGTATTAAAGGCCTGCTTCATACTAACCCAACAAATTCTACACAGATTAGAGTGAAATGTTAAAAAGAAGAAAAAAAATAACTGCAGTTCTGGGGACGTATGTTCTCAGGGTACAGTATTTTTCTTGAACCATGTAGAGCTGAATCACTAACTTTGAAGTGAAACTACCTCCCTACAAGGCACCTACAACATAAAAACTAGCTCCTGTTCTCTGATATCTGGTCAGATAACTCAACTGTAACAACCCCTTTTTGTATAGTAAAGAAACTAGCACCAAAAGGAGGATGTAGCTAAGACACCACCACAGCCTTAGCAGTATTACTGGGACCTGAACTGCTAGGTTACCAGTGTGTTGTTCTATACACCCGAGGGCATTTACTGTCGAGACGTTCCAAGCAGTTTCCTCACCCAAGATCTTATGAGAAGCACGTGCATCAGAACTGTGAGAATTTCATTACCATAAAACAAAATGGTTAGATTTTAGTAGAATTACTTCTTCATTAAAAGTTGGCAAGTAAAATTGGAACCCTTATCCTTCGCTGGTGGGAATGCAAAACGGTACAGCCATTGTGGAACACAGTGTGGTGGCTTCTCAAAAAAATTAAAATTAGAACTATCATATGGCCCAGCAATTCCACTCCTAGGTATATACCCAAAAGACTTGAAAGCAGAGACTCAAAAAGAGACATCAATATTCACTGTAGCACCATTCACAATAGCCAAAAGGTGGAAACAACCTAAATGCCCATCAACAGATGAATGGATAAACAAAATGTGGTAGATACGTACATACAATG